CTTAATAATTTTCTGTCTATTTCCTGCCATTATTTTTGCCATAATTTCTTGAGTTACATATGGGTTCTTTAGAAATACGGCTCCTAGATATGTGAATGTGTATCTACTTCCTCAAACTTGTATCGTTTCCCTCTCCCAGAATCTATTTGTTGTTAATCTTCCCTTCTCAAAATCCCTATCTGACCACTCCATAAATTTCGTTTTCTTCTCATTAAATACTCAGCCCACGTTTTGCGCTTGATTTTCTAGTCTTTTGGTCACCGATATCAGCTCAGTCTCCTCCGATCTCTTGCTAAGATAACTACATCATCTGCAAAGACTATTACTTCACTGCAAAATTTGACTATTACCTGTCAAAAAAAACAAATTAAAAATTAATTTACTTCAAAAAACGCATATCATTAGATCGCCTAACTATCGAAGCATAAACCAGCTATCAGCGACACATATCTTCGTACCTGTATCGTTTATATACGCCTCAATGGCAAGGTACTACTACTGGCAGGTTAGAAAAATGATTAAAGAGAGAATACAATGTGTAACTTAATGTCCCTCTGGCATGAAAGTCCTCTGTGGGTAGGTGTAGAAACTAGGCCCCGGGAGATTGCTTGATAACGAATAACTTTCTTTTTCACCTCCTTGTATTCATAATATACACACACATACAGGCTTTGATATGCGCCGCCGCCAAAAGATAGACAATGAATTCGATTACAGATAACATTTTTGAAGGATAGCAATGATTGGTTATATGGTGTGTATTGTTTACAAGACTGTTAACTAGACTTTTTTCTTCGCTGGTTCGAGTAATGGCAGTAGTAGTAATTGTTTTTAAGGATCTAATTTAAAAATAAAGATTTTAAAAAAAATCTTATACGAGGCATGTTTTTTAAGTAAGTACCGTTTTGGAATTAAAAAAAAACGTGCAAAGATATCGCAATAATTTTATTTTTACATGAAAGCCTGTACCTTAATCTACTTTTCTATATAATTTCCGTGAATATTGAGGCACTTGTCATAACGTGGCACCAGTTTTTCAATACCCTCCTCATAAAATTCTGCCGCCTGACTGGTTAACCACTGTATCACAACTGTTTTGACTTCGTTATCGTCTTGAAGATGCTGACCGCCCAGGTGTTTCTTCAAGTGCAGGAATAAATGGTAGTCACTGGGCGCCAGATCAGGGCTGTATGGAGGATGATCTAGAGTTTCCCATTTAAAAGATTTGATGAGATCTTTGGTCCGATTAGCCACATGTGGACGGGCATTGTCATGCAGCAAAACAATACCCTTACTCAACTTGCCACGTCTTTTGTTTTGGATTGCACGGCGCAGATTGTTCAATGTCTCACAATAAGATGCTGCATTGATTGTCTCATTACGAGGCAGAAACTCCACTAGCAATACTCCTTTTCTGTCCCAAAAACTGTGCACATGATTTTCCGGGCAGAAATTGTTTGCTTAAACTTCACTGTTTTGGGTGATGATGAATGTCGCCATTCCATGGACTGTTGTTCGATTCTGGTGTGACGTAGGCCACCCATGTTTCGTCACCAGTAACAATTTTGTCTAAAAAATCTTCACCTTCATTGTGGTACTGCTCAAGGAAAGTCAATGCACTGTCTAAACGTTGGGTTTTGTGCAAATCCGTCAACATTTTCGGAACCCAACGTGAACACAATTTCCGGTAATTCAAGTTCTCGGTCACAATACGATACAAAACACTACGAGAACATTGAGGAAAGTAGTCGCACAATGATAAAATTGTAAAGCGTCTGTTTTCTTTTACCTTTTCGTCCACTTTCTGCACCAAATCTTCATTAACGACCGAAGGACGCCCATTCCGTTCTTCATCATGCACATTTGTGCGGCCTTCTTTAAATGCTCTCACCCATTTCCTTACCATTCCATCACTCATAATGTTTTGTCCGTAAACTTCACAGATCTCACGATGAATATCGATCGGTTTTACGCCTTTAGCACTAAGAAATCGTATGACAGCCCGTACTTCACAATCGGCGGGGCTCACGATTGTCGGAGGCATCTTAAACACTCAATAAACAACGTATACAATGAAGAATCAGACTGTACTGGCGTCTGTGCATAGACAAGAGATGTAGGTAACCAGCGCGCATGCGCCGAACGCCGACCGTAGCGCTGCGGCGGCGGAATCGCAAAACGGTACTTACTTAAAAAACATGCCTCGTATTTTTTTAACCGACCAGTAAATTTCAACAAAGCAAAATAATTACACAGAGTAACAGGTTCTTCCTTTCTTAATCATTTTTAAATGATTTTATCAAAATTTCCACTCGACTAACTTCACAAATTTCGCACAGAAAACAAAAGTATTTAAACTACTTGTTATTGGTAATAAAAATAGTATAATTTTCAACAAAAATCTCCTATAACTAATTGGACATAGCAATTAAATCAATTTGCTGAGGGAGTAATTAAAATGCATTACGGCGGTTTTTTGTTGTTAGGCATTTAATTAAACATTTTTATTTCTGGTGCTTTTAATTTATGTTTTATCGCCAATAGTGAGTCACTGAGAGGAAATGAAGCAACCAGAGGACGTTATGTTAAGGTCGAAAGTTATATAAGCGTTGGAAGAGCGAAACGCTTGCCCAGCAGTTAAAAGACCATACCATAACTTGGTATACTGATGCTTCCAAAACCAATACGGGAACAGGGATCGGAGTGTTTGGGCCGAGAGCTAATTACTCCGAACCAATGGGCACTTACCCTAGTATCCTACAGGCAGAAATCTACGCTATCGAGAGATGCGTACAACTTATCTTAGATAGGAACTATCGGAAACAAGAAATAGCCATCTTATCTGATAGTCAAGCAGCGTTAAAGGCGATCAACTCAGTATCAATCGATTTGAAATTGGTCAAAGAATGCATAGAGAAGCTGAATAAATTAGGCAAAGAAAACAAAGTCCTCCTACACTGGGTGCCTGCTCACCAAGGGATAGAAGGCAATGAAAAAGCAAATAATCTAGCTAGGAAAGGAGCGAACACTCCACTAACTGGACCAGAACCGTTCTGCTTTCCAAGTGGTAACCAACTCAAGGCGGAACTCAAGAACTTGGAAGATTCCATCCGCAACCTGGAATGGAAATCTTGCAATGGTCTAGGACACTCGAAGAAGTTTCTGAGGGCTTATGATCAAGAAAAATCACAGATCTTCCTGGGTCTGAGTAAGAACAATCTTCGGATTGTCACGGGGTTTTAACAGGACACTGTCTCCTCAATGAACACCTCAGTAGATTGAAACTAAGAAGAAACGGCGAATGCAGATTCTGTGGGGAAGATGGTGAAACACCAGTACACCTCATCACTGAGTGCGCCGAGACGACAACCATTCGTGCCATGAATTTTGGTACGACTGATATTGGAGATGGAGAACTACCCTCTATAAAACCGTCCCAGATACTGGCTTTTGTCAAAGCCCTGGGACTGTATGATGAGTTATGATTCAAGAAAGGGGGACACAATGGATCTGTAAGGTCGAAGTGATTAACCCCCCTCCCACTCATTCTAAATTCTAAAAAAAATTCTATATAAGCAGCAATTAAATAAAAATTCGTAATAAAGAAGCAGTAGTACTATGGCACAGCCTATTCAAAACCAGCCATGAGAATCCCTCTGCAGACAGATTTACAGGAACCTCCAACATTAAAACGTACTACTTGTTATATGTGTCGATATAAAAAACGAAGAATGGCACCACTTTAATGGAACCACTGCAACCGCGAATTTGTGCTGAACATCGCGAGCAATAGTTTTATTGGTTTCTTTTTGTTATTATATAATTTAAATATTTAACAAGATATTTCGTTTGTTCAGAATATATCGTAAAATTTACGAATGCTTAGTATTTGCGGCATATGCTTAGTATTCTAGGGTTAACTAAAACTATGCATGTATTCGTATCCATGTTTAGGAACTTCTGTCATTTATTTTGATGAGGTATCTCCCTCTGAAATTTGGCCATGCATTTTTCGAACACTCTGTATAGCTGAATATTACAAGTATCTAAATTGAGTATCGCACAACTTCATAGAAATTCCAGCATGAGAATGGCAAGGACAAAACTAAGGTTTGTCCGGCAGCGGCACAATCGCAAGCCCCATCTCTAAATAATGAATATTTCAGAATTATCTTTATCTGGTTTGGCGTAAAGTACGACCGGCGGTTTCTAAGAAACGCAAGAAAAAAATAAAGTAAATAAATTTAGTCTTTCCGCGTGAAATGAAAATTATTGGAAAGTGATAGTGATTGTCCGTGCAAAAGAAGTGATATCGATAGATCTGTTCGAATCGAAGAAATGGCAGTTCGTTATGTCATTTGGTATTCAATAATTTCTACTATTACCGATTTTCTCTGTTCTTGAATGAATAATAAATTAAATAATTTATGTACGTTAGTGATAAGTTTATTTCTTCAAAACCTGTGTGTTGAAGAAAGACATATTATTTTTATTTTTAATGTATATTTAATACTTTAAAACACACTCTATTTTTTTAAACACGGTTTTAACTTTAAAGTCACTTCACAGTCAAAGCTGTGGTGGGTGTACTTACTGCCATAACTCGCTGACGAGTATTTGGCATGCATCAGAGGATGCATCACAACCCAAGCCGTTTTCTTTCATGAGCTTTTCTGTCACTTATTTATTTACTCGTGTCCAACTCAGTATATATAAAAAACAAATCAAGAAACACAAAAATATATATAAAATATACAAAACGGCTAAATTAATAAAAAGGTACATCATACATTTAAAAAAAAACATACTCAAACAATCAACATAAATAGGAACAATACTTGTACAGAATTAGACAAACTACAAAAAATATATATGCTTACAGCAGTTATATACAGGATATCCAGTACTTGGTACACTCCAGAGCGTCGGTATTTTTTTTTTTAGTACTAGATAGTTTAGAGCTATAGTAAGGTGGGTGTAATGTTGAATTTTTCTTGCAGGATGATCACCTGAAAATGACTTCCACTCGAATAGGATCGGATGTGAGTACTACAAGCAGAGTACGGCTGAACCAGGTTCTGGCCATAATAGTGAGGAAGGAGGGCTGCCAGGGAGATCCAGGAGACTTCTGGATGTATGAAAATGGCTACCTATTATTCCAGGTAAAAAAAATATTCACTTAATTTATTTAATGTAATATTTATTTCACCGGAAATGACAACACTACAACTTTTTTTTAAGGAAACTCTCTGTATATTTTTATTTTATTCGATAGAAAATGTATAGATCGCTCTGAATAGAATGACATATCATATGTCAACTTTTGACATTTTCACTTAAAAAAATCGTATTTTAAATTTCAATCTCTAGGCTGTGTGTTTATGTTTTTCTTATCCTGGCCTGTTAAAACATGCCCAAATCGTATTTTTAATCATATCTCAATTTTTTTAAACGGTATTTGGTACCATGCACTTGGTATTTCGAGTCAAATTGCAGCATGTTGAAATTTCAAAGAAACCATACGCGAAAATGTCAAAAGTTGATGTCATTCTATCCAGAATGTCATTTTCTATCGAATAAAGTAAAAAAATACCGTGGGTGTCATTTAAAAATCAAAAGTTGCAGTAATTTCCGGTGAAACAGGAAGTGACCAAAAACAATTGAATACGTCAATCAATCCTAATTTATGTCATACATTAACATACCAAATCTCGTTTTTTTATCTGAAAAAATAAACAGTGTGAGCCACCTTTGAGACGCCACCCGGTAGAGTAAATAAGAAAAAAAAATCTTAATACAAAATAAATAAGTTTAAACGCCACCAACTGAAATAACTCTGTTCACTGTCAAGAACCACAGTGATAGGTATACTAAAGCTAATAATTAATTATTGATATTTCTACCTACCCTTATTATTTTCATTTATTTACACTGTACAGAGTGTCCCATACGAATATAATCATATTACATAATAGCTAGATTAAAAAATAATTATAATGCCATCTCATACCAAACTTGTTACTGTTAAATACTGATTTATTTCCTCTTTTAATTGATTGTTAATTGTTTAATTGTTAATGTACTGTCAAAACTTTCACTCTGTACAACCGTAGCTTTCTTGAGCAATTCCTTATGTATAAAAAAGTGACAGATACCTACTGTGTTAGCAATAAACAAAACAATTAAATTGAAATCCGTAAAACAGTAATGCCATGCACGAAAATAGTTAAAGGTTTACGGCAGCTCATATATCTTGAAAACAGCGACGTGAAAATCATATAAAAATAATTTTATTTGATAGTTTTATTGTCAAAATACTTGTTTAGTTTTGAAGTAGTCATTAAAAATTTCCGAAAAATACTAAAAATTTCTAAATTATTAGCACTGATGTCCCTCTTTTGTGTTACATCGTTAAAAAGAACAATTCTAAAGGTTACCACGGTCGCAGTCGCTCAGTATTCTTAGTGCCAATTTTTTACAGGTTTTATATCAATTTTTAATAAAATGGCGTCTAGAGAATGACCTAGCCAAAAAAGAATAGATGATCATTCCATTTTAGGTTTATATCTAGTTCCATTCATTATAGGTTTATATCTAGTTTTAATTCTGTAATAATTAAAATATGTTTTAAACGTGTATCTTTTTATTTCCGTTGTGTATTTTACTCCACAATCTATATAATTTTTGTTAAATTAACAAAAGATATATCACACAGCCACTCTAGATTTTTTCAATAAAGATCTAATGACGCAAAATCATAAAAATTAAAATATCTAGGAAAATCTTTGTCTGAGGGGTAGGCAACCTTAATAATATTTTGAAGATATATAAATTCCCCATTGAACACCGGAAAAATATACTGAGTGTTCCATTTAAAATAAAGGAGTAACTTGCTTTTAAATGTGACTAATGGTCCATATTAATTTTGTCTCACCCTGTATAACTTCTCGGGTCAAATTTCAATTTGGTTTAACATACAATGGTTACTGTAATTAAATATCAGTCTATACAAGATCAACTAAAATTGAGATAGCTGATATCGAAATTTAAAATTTACTCTTCATTTTCACAAAATGTGAAATATGTAAAAATACTTAGATTTTAGGTATATGCTTCTTTAATAAAACTCATCTTTATTTTTTTTCCTAGAATCCGAAAATCAATTATATAGGGTGTTCCATTAGAAAAAAACACAACTTTGATGTGTAACTTTCTGATAACCGTGTAACTCTTTAATGTGGAGCTTCCGCGGCGTATGAGAGGCGCCACCCTGTATTTTGTTGCCATATTTATAAATATCAAATTTCCAAATCGTTTTTAAGTAAGAGCAAAGGTCACAAAGTTTATTTATAATAATAAAAAAGTTGGCAAAACTGAGACATGATACGATATGGGTACAGAACAGCCAATTTACTTTGTTTCAACATGGCAGAAATCTCTTTTTAAAGTGTTGCGTAAAGCATTCGCGAAAATTGAATAGTGAAAAGGACACAACACGTTTTTCTTTGTTTTGTGATCGCTATCTCTAAAGGTTTCGAACCGACAAACTTGGCAAAAGCAGTACGGAAAGATCAATAAGTGATGATAAGCTTAAATATTTTAACTATACCTTACTTTCATTTTGATTAGTTTGTGTTAAATTTGTTGTATAATATACATATTTGCATTATATGGTGATTATAATAATTTATTTGTGTTTTAAGTTCGAAAATGATAATATTTTTAGGAAACTTTAAAATACCAAAAAAGACTCAATAAATAATCTATACTAATATATAAAATCCTTGTGTGACTGACTCACTGATTAATCACGATCCTGCTCAAACCACTCAACGTAAGAAGCTCAATTTTGGCATACAGGTTGATTCTAGGGTGTAGAGGTTCGATAAGAAGGATTTTTCGAAATTCCAGTTCCAAGGGGGTGAAACCACCCCTCAAATATTACAATGTTTTTTATTTAAAAAACGGCCAAGTTTCCGAAAAAAACGCTTAAACACGTATATTTTATTTTGTTTTTTTACATATTTTAAGATTTTTTAAAAATGTATACAGGGTGTTTCGAAAAATCTGGTCACTGATTAATCACGATCCTGCTTAAAGCGCTTGACATAAAAAGCTGATTTTTGGAAAACAGATTGACTTTAGGGTGTGGAGATTCGATAAGAAGGGATTTTTCGAAACTCGTATTCTAAGGGGGTTAAACTATCCCTCAAATATTAAAATATTTTTTATATAAAAACCCCCTTAAACACGTATATTTTATTTTGTTGTTTCACATAATTTAAGATTTTTATAAATTTATACAGGGTGTTTCTAAAATATGACCATTGAGTAATCACGATTTTTCTTAAACTCCTTGACGTTTAAAGCTGATTTATGGCAAACGGATTGACTGTGGGGTGTAGAGGTTCGATAAGGAGGGGTTTCTCGAATCTCAATTTACAAGAGGGTGAAAACGCCCCTCAAATATTACAATATTTGTTATTTAAAAAACGGTTAGTCTTTCGGGAAATCGCTTGGACAAGCATAATTTATGTGTTTTTTTTTAATATTTTGAAATTTTTTAAAAAATCATACAGGGTGTTCCAAAAAGTTGGGTAATTGAATAACTGCCAAAATGTAATAATATCGCCATATTGTTTTTTCTCATGCTGATATAAATGTGAGAACATTTTATCCAGTTTGTATGTTAATGGAAACGCTTGCTTTGCTTTATCATCACCATTACAAATGCTTAATTCGACGCGAACGAAGTCGCAGGTACACGCTAGTAGATGTATAAAACAGTTGTGTGAAACTGATGATGTATTTAGTTGGACAAGCATACTCAGACTCTAGGTATGACAATATTAAATATCTTTTGGACTTAATACATAACCTTAACGTAGAAAATTAAATTAACTTTCATATCTGCATCTTAATATCAATATATTTCTATTGAAAATACCTGGGGGACTTATGCAAATCACATTTTCATTTAATTTGTTCATAATAAATCAGATTGCTGGATCTGGAAGTAATATTATAATTATTTGTTGTTGTAAGTCGTAAAATTAAAAGCGTGCAAACCCAATGGACCGTTACTCCGTATAGAATTATATGTAAAGTAGGAAATTTTTTCATTCATGTTTGGTTAATAATGCTATTATGTTGCGCATTTCCTATGTGGGCGGAATATGTTATCCTTGTAAGTGTGTATGTATATTAACATAAATATATTTATCTTAACGCTGAAGTGTTAAAATAGTGCATATACGTTTTATTAACACTTTACGAGCGAAGAGCAAATTTATAGTGCCTTTATTTTAATTATCTATACTAATATATAAAATCCCTAAGTGACTGACTCACTGATTAATCACGATCCTGCTCAAACCACTCAACGTAAGAAGCTCAATTTTTTACACAGATTTATTTTTTTTAAATCTACAAATTACAGCTGATTAACACTGTGCGAAAATAAAAATATTTTGACCATGGAATATGTTTTTTGTATTATAAAAACTGGTTAAAATATTTACTACACCATTTTGCTATAAGTAAGTACACTATCGCTTTGTTCAACAAATTGCCAATGTTAATTTAGAAAACAATAAAATCTTTGTTATATTACTATAACATTTTCTCATAAAATCTGCTAAAAATTATCGTGCAAGTTATAAAAACGTTTATATACTATATTTTATGTATTTTGTTATTGTGTTTGTTACTTTCTACAATATTGTTATACATATATGGTAATAATAAAATCTACATATACCTATTTATTACAATATTTATGAAAATAAAACAAAGTTCAATTAGTTACACCATAACTTAAGAACTACTGAACCAATTTTAATGATCTCTTATTTGCTGGATTTGTCTTGGAAAATAATAGCGGAATATTTATTAAATTATACTTCTTCAACTAATGGTAAACTGCTGATGGACACATGCCATCCAGTTCAAAAGGACCCACTCCAGGAAAGTTTTCTCGTTATAATTCGGTTTTAATATATTCTTTTGGTGGTAATAATCTTATTTAATAATTAATTTTTACCCCCCAATCCAAGAATCGTACTTCTTCAGCTGATGGTAAACTGCTGAAGGGCACATGCCATCGAGTGCGAAAGGACTCACTCTAGGAAAGTTTTCTTGTTATAATTCGGTTTTAATATAT